CCAATGTGACTGGGCCAGATACACAAACATTGTGTTTTGTTTTGCTTTTTAAATTTTCTACAGATCATGTGCACTCACCAGAGACAGAGAGAGAGAGAATGAGAAAGCACTCCCAGGAGAAATGGCCACACTGTACTCATGTCTTCACCTCCTCTCAGGATTTTGGGCACGCATGTACAGGTGGCCAGCGTTTTTTACAAGACACTGGACCTGGGGCTCAAATCATGCAGTTAATCATGTGAGATCCAGCAGCCTTAACCACCACACCCCCAGCTGGCCCATGTGTGTGTTTTATTTTAAGATTTATTTATTTATTATTTCAGCTTGACCAGGGAGAGACAAGAGAGGAGACAGAAAGTGAGAAAGCAAGCCACCAGGTCTGGGACGCGAACTGAAGTTGGCCATGTGGGAGTCCCAACATCTTTTTGTTTGTTTGTTTTTAATTTTTGCTATAAGATGTGTGTGCTCACTGGAGAGACAGAGACAGAAAGCAAGAAATCACCCCCCTTGGGACCAGCAGTTAGCGTAATGGCTGTCGCTGGACTCCCACGTAGTCGACTGCGGTTCGAGTCCCAGACCTGGTGGCTTAAACTCACACCGGGCGCGTGTGCGTGCGTGCCCAAGATCCCGAGAGGAGAACAGAGGAGAAGGGATTGCGGTGTGGCCATCCCCCCTGGGGGGTGATTTCTCGCTTTCTGTCTCTCTGTCTCTCTCTGTCTGGCGAGCGCACGTGGCCCAATAAAAAAAACCCCAAAAAAAAAAAAAAAAAAAAAAAAAAAAAGAAAAGAAAAGAAAAGAAATCACCTCCCAAGTAGGGATGGCTATGGCACAATTCCTTCTCTTCCATTCTCCTCTCAGGATTTTGGGCACACACACACACACACACCCCTAGCATGAGTTTTAAGCTGCCAGGTCCCGGGACTTGAACTGCAGATGAACACCGTTTCAGTCTGCCAAATAAGTAAGGCAAGTCAAAGGACGTGACACTGCTTGAAATGGTTGAGTTAAATAATTCTGAAGAAACAGATTTTGTCATTTTTTTATTCTTTCGGCATTCTGTACACTGACATAGAGGTAAAAGAAAACGACTGAAATTTAAGTGTCAAAGAACTTTTTACAATTAAATCCACAGCTGTATACATTTATCTTACTCACATGTCAGTTAAAAGCTCACCAACTATTACAAAACAGGACAAATTACATCACGAAAGAACCAAAAAGTAGAAAAGGATTTCATAAAAAATATATCCAACTATGAAAACTATTGCTCTCTTGGCGTCTTCACATCCTTCTCTTCTGTGTACTTATGTACAACACATTGTTCCCACGGATGAACACGTCCCCGTATTTATTCTTCAGCTGCCCATTCACATGCTCTTCTGTCTGCTCCAGGGCTATGTTCATGTAGCCGTCCAAGCAAGCCAGGACCCCTCGATAATCCACTCCAGAATTTAATTTTACCACAACTGGCCGTCAGATGATTTGCTTCAAAAAGTCACTGGGGGTTTGCTTCCGCAGACTCATTGTAACAATCCTCAAAGCCGGGCTCCAGAACCCTCACTCCCCACATGTATTTTCTTTATTAGAGAATTATTTATTTTATTTTATTTATTTATTATTATTATTCAATTTGACAAGAGAGAAACAGACACAAAGAGAGAGAAAGAGAAAGAAAGCAAGCTGCCAGGTTCAGGACTCAAACCATGGTCAACTATGTGGGAGTCCAGAGCCTTAACCACCACACCATCTGCCAGCTCCCCCTTATAATTTTACTTATTATTATTATTCAATTTGGAGTATTTTTTTTGAGAGGTTTTTGATATAGAGCGTGTGCACTCGCCAGAAAGACAGAGAAAGACAGAGAGACTGAAAGCGAGAAATCATTCCCCAGAGGGGATGGCCATGCCGCAATCCCTTCTCTTCCACTCTCCTCTCAGGATCTTGGACACGCAAGAACAACTGCACCTGGCACAAATTTAAGGCACCGGGTCTGGGACTTGAACCATGGTCAACTACATGGGAGTCCAGCAACATAGCCATTACGCCAACTGCTGGTCCCAATTTGGTATATTTTTTAAAGGTACTTTTGCTTTTTGGTTTATTTATGTCTTCCATGAGCAAGACACAGAGAGAGAGAGAGAGAGAGAGAGACAAAATGCACCCTCAACGGAGTCCTGACGCCAGGCTCTAACCCCAGTTTCAGCCTGCTGTGGATCACAGGCTCACATGTGCCCACTATGTTCAAGGTCTCCAGGTGCAAACTCAGAACTTGCCCACGTGGGCCAGTCTGTGAAGAGCGCTGTTTGTTACTGCTGCATCACCAGCCAGCCCCCTCATGACAGAGCAAATGAGGGAGGTAGGAATGAGCACCCTCCACAGGGTCTGCCCATGCCATAAGCTCCCTGCTCAAGTCCTCCAGCCTGTCGCTTGCACATATACGTGGTGTGTTTCAGTGCAATCAGGGTAAGGAACTGAACCACAGTGGCCATGTGGGATCCAGTCTCTAACTGCACACTACCTCTACATCACAAAATATGTCATATTTTTAAAGCACGTCTCACTGTCTTCAATGACCTGGTGCAAGTCAGTCCTGCATGGGGCAGATGAGCAAGTAGAGAAATGATACAACCCAGTCAGGTCTTGGAGAGCTACTACTAGTGCCTGGGCAGATGCTATGGCCTGCAGTCCAGCAGCTCTAGGCTGATTGGTACTTGAGTCTATAGTTTGCCAGGGCTCTTGGGTCTCCACAGGGAGATGGAGCCACTGCAAAGGCACTTTCTTCCCTAAATTTTTCAGAGTAATTCAGTTAGGATAGAAGAATCATGGCTGTTTGTTTTCTTGTATTTTGAAATGTAGAAAACCTTTCTACAATAAGAAGTGATTTATTCATTCATTCCCCTACAGATACTCAGTGAGCACCCACCAGGAAAGAGCCCAGGACTCCTGGTCACGCAATAGGGTTGAATCTGGAAGAGGATTGACCAGTGTTGCTCAGATCCCTCTGCATCTTTATGTCTATGAAACATAAAATGCAGGCCCGGTCACAGTGGTGTAAGTGGGAAGGCTGAGGCTGCATGGGAAGTCTGGGGTTGATTCCGGAGCCAACATGAACAGGTCAGGTGCATGGGGCACACTGGAAGTCTTAGCTAAGTGAAGCAGGGGAGCAGGAGGATCGCAACATATTGAAACCAGACTGAAAACACCTCTCTCTCTAGCACTCATTTTGGGGGAAAAAAGGACAAAATGCAAAGACCACAAGGAGACTGTACAAAGAACAAGCTTGGGGAACTGGAAGCTCAAGACTCAAGGCTGGTGTGATCAGAACCAGGCTTCCGTCCTCATAGGGCTGCTATACTCCACAGACTGTCACCTGAGCAATCACAGCTCAGGTGTTTAACAAGCACGGAGGTTAAGGACTATGCACAGAAAGCTAGCTCCCACAAGTTTGAGTCCTGGCCCTGGCAGCCTGAAAACCACCCGAAGCACACGGGGATGTGTGACAGAATAGAGAAAAGTAGGGGAAGGATTATTGTGACGTGACCATACCACACTGGGGGCTGCGTGCTCACTCACTTGCTCGCTTGTTCACTCCCTTTCTCTGGCAATTACGATAAATAATGAATAAACAAATGAACAACTCAGACTTGCTCTGGAAGTCAAGCAGTTAATCCATGAGAAGCACTTGAGCAGGCTGAGTTCTGAAGTTGCCAGTATTTTCATGACTAAATGACAAACACAAAGTTTCCTTTTTCTTTTTTTAATTCCTTTTTTTTTTTTTTGAGAGAGATTTTCACTATAGGGCGCATGCGCTCTCCAGACAGACATAGAGACAGAAAGCGAGAAATCACCCCCCAGGGGGGATGGTCATGCCGCAATCCCTTCTCCTCCATTCTCCTCTCGGGATCTTGGGCACGCACGCACATGCACCCGGCGTGAGTTTTAAGCCACCAGGTCCGGGACACGAACCACAGTCGACTACGTGGGAGTCCAGCGACATAGCCATTATGCTAACTGCTGGTCCCTAAACTTAAATAATTCTTAAAAAAAAAAAAAAACTTAATAGCCTACTAGTGACCAGAATCCTTATCAATATAGTCAACTAACACATTTTTTGTATATTATATCCTATATTCCTACAATAAATCTATCCAGTGAAAAGAAAACATTAAACAAATCATAAGAGGCCGGCCCCATAGCCTAGTAGCTAGAGGAGCCGGAACCCATAAGGCTAACAGCTGTTGAAATCCTGGTACTGACAGCTTGAAAAATGCACTAGGTGCACATGTGTGCACGCCCAAAATCCCAAAAGGAGGGAGAAATAGAGAATAAGGGACTGCAGTGGGACCATGCCCCACCGGAGAAGGCTTTCTTTCTTTCTCTCTCTCTCTCTCCCTTTCCAGGTCTCTCTGGCGAGTGTGCATGCCCTCTGGCAAAAACTTTTTAAAAAGAAAAGAACAGGAACAAAATGTACACTTAACAGTATTTACTGGAAAAGAAAATCTATAAGTGGATCCACTTTGTTCAAACCCGTATTTCTCAAGGGTCAACAGTATACTTGAGGTCTTCAAAAAGTTTATAGAAAATGAGCATTATTTAAAAACTACACATGGGGGACCAGCAGTTAGCGTAACGGCTATGTCGCTGGACTCCCATGTAGTCGACCGTGGTTCAAGTCCCGGACCAGGTGGCTTCAAACTCATGCTGGGCGTGCGTGCGTGCGTGCCCAAGATCCTGAGAGGAGAATGGAGGAGAAGGGATTGTGGCGTGGCCATCCTCCCTGGGGGGTGATTTCTCACTTTCTGCCTCTCTGTCTTTCTCTGCCTGTCTGGCGAGTGCACGCGCCCTATAGCAAAAACCTCTCAAAAAAAAAAAAAAAAAAAAAGAAAAGGAAAAAAAAAAAAAAAAACTACACATGAATCTGGAGGAAGGAGCAACGTAGAAAGAAGAAGGGAAGAGAATGGCTCCTTGGAAGTTCAGATTCTTAGACCAAGGTTGAAACAATGGTTGACCTCAACCAGCTAATGGAAAATGAAGTACTCATGGCTTTTGCCTCCTATACAATAATTATTCTTTCAAAAATGACGTTGATGAGCACTGTAACTGTATGCCATAGAATCACAAGAAAGGTTTTGGCCAACCCAGAAGACTGTGCAAGCTTTGGCAAAGGAGAAAATGCTAAGAAATAGCTTTGAACAGATGACAGAGTGGAACGTGTTCGAAGAGCCCACCTGAATGACGTTGAAAATATTGTTGCATTTCTTGGTATTGGCCTTCTGTATTCCTTAAGTGGTCCAGATCCCTCTACAGCCACCCTGCACTTCAGACTCTGCTGGAGCACAGATCTACCACACAATGGCATATTTGCTACCGCTTTCCCAGTCAAATAGAGCTCTGGATTTTTCTATTGGGTATGGAGTTACTTTTTCAATGGCTTACACATTGCTGAAGAATAGATTATATCTATGAAGAGAGTCATCCAATTGGCTTATAAAAATTCAGTGCTTCGGGACCAGCAGTTAGCATAATGGCTATGTCACTGGACTCCCATGTAGTTGCCCACGGTTCGCGTCCCGGACCCGGTGGCTTAAAACTCACGCCGGGCGCATGTGCGTGCGTGCCCAAGATCCCAAGAGGAGAATGGAGGAGAAGGGACTGTGGCGTGGCCATCCCCCCTGGGGGATGATTTCTCGCTTTCTGTCTCTCTGTTTCTCTCTCTGTCTGTCTGGCAAGCACACGCGCCCTATAGCAAAAACCTCTCAAAAAAAAGAAAAAAAAATTCAGTGCTTCAAGTTGATAATAAATATATTTGTAGATGTTAGGTGGGAGGGAAACAGAGATACGAAGACCTGAGGAAAACTCATTTTGAATGTGTCACTAGTGCATATTTTTTATTCTAATTTTTTTTATTTATTTATTTATTTATTTATTTATTGATTGGAGAGTTTTTCACTATAGGGTGCGTGCGCTCACCAGACAGAGAGAGACATAGAGACAGAAACCGAGAAATCACCCCCCAGGGGGGATGGTCACACCGCAATCCCTTCTCCTCCATTCTCCTCTCGGGATCTTGGGCACGCACGTACACGCGCCCAGCATGAGTTTCAAGCCACCGGGTCCAGGACGCGAAACACGGTCGACTACGTGGGAGTCCAGCGACATAGCCATTACGCTAACTGCTGGTTCTCTTTATTCTAATTTTAGATTTGCAATAAAAATTTGACATACAAATTCACAAGTCTCTGGACTTATTCCTTAAATACTTTTATACAAATTTTGACTATAATTTGTAACATTCCTTTAATCTATAGGAAGAGTGATTATATGTAGGAGAAACCTATATGTCAGTACTGCTAAAATAGGCATATGAAATAAAGAAGTAAAAGAAGAGAAAAAAACTATACACGGATATCAATGTTTTCCATCAAAATAAACTCATGCTTTAATTCCATTTATCCAATAAACTCTCTAGAATCCCTCACATAGAAAGGCTGAGCTCCCTAATACACAGGAGAGGAATCGAGATGAAAACTAACACTTCTAGGGTCAAGATGCCATTGCACAGCTTAAAGCTTCACCCTGCAAGAAGGGTCCCAGATTCAAAAGGCTTAGCTGCTTTTCAATGCCAGAACGCTCTGGAGCTCTGGGGTGCCTGTGGCATGCGGTCGCCACCACATGCAGGCGTGCATGCAGAAGCAGGTGGCAACAGCACTCTAGGCCCCGGGCTGCGGAAGGTGGCCCAAACCCACCCAGCTTACGCCCAAAAGGACACTGCTCTCAGTTGGTGTGCTCCTGGTAAGAACTTCCTCTGGACCCAGGGTACTGCACAAAGCCAGGCTCACACAGACACCCAGGTGAGGGCAGGCGTCTCGGGGGAACGGCTCACTGCCTGCCTAGTGGCTTCCACCACAGAGAACAAGAATGCAGTAGTGAGAGATCAAGGACCCGGGCCCAAGCTCTAGGTTTGTGACTTACCGATGAGCAAGACTCCCTTTCCCCAAGCTATAATTTACTCCTCTATAAATGAGCGTGATGACACAGGCCCACGGTCAAGGGCTGCTGGGGACACAGCCATCCCCACAGGAGCATGGAGTGCTCCCCAGGGCAGGAGGCCTTCCTAGCTTTCATGTGCTCACACCACCCATCCTGGCCTGAAAGAGGGGCACTCACCACAGACAGACAGAGAGCTGGCCTGCACAAGACAAGCAGCCACCAACACTCTTACACGCGACCCCTAGTAAAATGCAGCTTGTCCCAGCTTGTACGGCACCAGAGGATGAGTGCAGACGAGAGAGTGCCCTGCGAAATGGGGAAGAAGCACTGGGTGGCCTTCGAGGCACTGCTCCATCTTCCTCCAGGACCGCCATACCCACATGCCTCCAGAGCTGCTCACCAGCTAAGGCAGGTGGAGTTTTAGTCCTAGGGCTCAACTGAGCGCCAGACTCAGGACACGTTCAAGTCTCTGAACTTCACTAACCTTCACCTCCACACTAAGTCTGTACATCAGTCACCAACTTCCCACAGAAACACTGAAAGGCAAGATTTCTAACCATGAACCTAGAAGTTTTGCTTACTTCCTGCACCAAGCGCAGCTGACAGGTGTAACTGAAACACGATTCCTTGGGTCAGCGTGAACATCAGGGTAGGACTGCCCTGGGGAACAGCGGTTGGAGAGCCAGTCCCCACAGGGCTGACCATGCAGTTTGAGTCCTGAACCCAGTTGGGGATGCTCTCATGTGTGACACTCACACTCTCTTCTCTTTATCTCTCTCTTGTACACTCATGCATTCCTTTTGACATTGAAAAAAGGAAGAAACATTAAATATAAGTAAAATATACAAGTTGAGCTGGCTCTATGGCCTAGTGGCTAAGGCAGCCAGCCAGATCCAAACATGTTCAACATGGATTAGAGTCCTGGACCCAGGAGCTCAAGAAATGTGACACAGGCATATGCATGAGTGCCCAAAACCCAAAAGGAGAGAGTGATGGAGAAGGGGCTAAGGGTATGACCATCACCCATTGGGGGATGCTTTTTTCTTCTCCCCCTCTCTCTCTCACTCCCTGGAGAACACATGCACCCTCTATAAGTAAATAAATAAGTGCTTTACACTATGAAATTTGTTCTTAGAAAATAATATCTAGGAGCCAGCAGGTGGCATGGTGAATAAGGTGCTAGCCAACTGCAGTTAGAGCCATGCTCCTAGAAGCTTGAAAAGCATGCTGGGCACAGGACCAGCAGGTGCCGTGGTGGTTAAGGGTGCTGGACTCCCTTATGGCCAACCATGGTTCTAGTCTTAGACCTGGCGGCTTGCTTTCTCACTTTCCCTCCCTCTCTCTCTCTTTCACTCTGTCCCTCTACAGTTAAATTTTAAAAATATATATGTTATAAATAAAGTTAAGTAAAACATAAACTTTAAAAAAAAAGAGAAAATCATGCTGGGCGCATGCTTGCCTTAAGTCCCAACATGGGTATGGAGGAGAGGGAATTGTGGTGTGGCCATCCCCTCTAGGGGGTGATTTCTCACTTTCTCTCTCATTGTTTTTCTCTGTCTCTGGTGAGCACATGTGCCTCATGACAAAATCTAAAAATAATAATAATATTCATAGGCTTTTACTTTCTGTTTTACTAACTAGGGCCAGCAGGTGGCATGATGGTTAAGGGCACTGGACTCCCACATGGCCAATCGTGGTTTGAGCCCCAGACTTGGCAGCTTGATTTCTCACTTTCTCTCCTCTCTCTCTGTCCCTCTGGTCAAATTAAAATAAATTCATAAAACAAAGTTCAATAAAATAATTCTTAAAAAAAAAAAAAAGGTTGCCCGCTAAAACAAACTTGAGTTTCTAATTTGAAATCACTTACATAATATTTAAACATCAATTTCTCCAGGAAGTAGATTCACTGAGCTCCCCACCCCATCTAGTAAGCTCTAACAGAGCTCTACAGAGCGTTTCGCTCCTGCCCAGGGCCTCCTCTCTCCCAATCCCCCTCTTCTGACCCTGTTCCTTACAAGAAACCTTCTCAGCCTCCAAAATTGATTTTTTTTTTTTGAGAGGTTTTTGTTATAGGGTGCATATACTCAAGGGAAAGACAAAGAGAGACAGAAAGTGAGAAATCACCCCCCGGGGGGGATGGCCACACCACAATCCCTCCTCCTCCATTCTCCTCTCAGGATCTTGGGCACGCACACATATGCTCCCGGCTTCAGTTTAAGCCACTGAGTCTGAGACTCAAACCGCGGTTCATTACATGAGAGTCCAGCAACACAGCCATTACGCCAACTGCTGGTCCCTCAGCCTCCAAAATTAAAGGTCAAACACTGAGGTGACCTCCAAGGTATACAGTGGCACTTGTACTAAAGTGAGAACCTTCGTCTCTGAGGCTGCAACATCCCTCCGGTTCCTCCCTATGTCCACTGGCTGCCTTGTTATTCCCCTGCAAGGGAAAGCTGTACCCTGCTGGGCCAGGGTCCTTAGCACTGCCAGCCCCTCTAGCTGCTGCAGCAGCCTAGTCCCCTGGCCCTCACCCACACTGGCCACTCTTCTGCCATCCTCCCTCTCTGGCCTCTACCCTTGGCGTGGACAGTGCTTGCTGCCCTCTGTCCCTGCAGGCCCAGGTGAGGTGCTGGATCCCCAACAGCAGGAAAGGAGCCTGTGGGAGCATCCATGGCAATCCCAGAGTCCACACACACACACATACAACCACAGTATACCAGTAACTTAGAAGACCCCTACCTAACAGGTGAGCCTGTGAAATAAAGGCCCAACCTAGGTAGGAAAACTGATAAATTCTTTTTTAAAAATTATTTTATTGGGGCCAACAGGTGGTGTGGAGGTTAGGGGCTCTGGACTCCCATGTGGCCAATTGCGGTTCAGGTCCCAGACCTGGTGGCTTGCTTTCTCACTTTCCTTCTCTTTCTCTCTCTCTCTTTGTCTCTGAAAAAATTAAAATAAATAAATTAATTAATTAAAAAAGCTAAATAAAATAATTTTTAAAATATTTTATTTAACTTTATCTATCCATTTATTTATTTATTTCAATTTGACCAGAGAGGGATAGAGTGAGTGAGAGAGATAGAAAGTGAAAAAGCAAGTCACCAGGTCTGGGACTTGAACCATGGTTGACCATGTGGGAGTCCAGCACCCTTAACCACCACACCACTTGCTGGCCCCATGGGAAAACTGATAAATTCTAAAACAGGTGACAGGAGGATTCCTACATGGTCGACTCTGTGGTTCAAGTCCTGGATGCAGCAGCTTGAAGAACATGCTAGGTACGTGTGTGTGTAAGTGCTCAAAATCCTGAAAGGAGAATGGAGGCCAAGGTATTGCTGTGTGGTCACCCCCCCCAGGAGGGGGTGATTTCTCACTGTCACCCTCTCTGTCTCCAACAAGCACATGCACCCTGTGGCAAACACCTAAAAACTTGTCTCAGAGCAGTGTTCAGTGTTCATCGGAAAAAACTAAGGCTCCGAAAGAAAAAAAAAAATCCATTTAAAAGGAAAAGAGAGCCAAACACAGAAATTATGAATTTCTTAATACCACCAATTTGTTTGGCTTGTATTATCCAAAGGTCTCAAGAGTTTGGAAGCAACTTCAGCTTCTATGCAAACCAGCTATGTGAACAGGCCAGTGTGGCCTGCCCAGTCCTCCCAGCATGAGGAACAGCACTTCCTACTCCCAAAGTCCTCCCTGTCCTCCCCATTTGGCCACTCCTTAGCTTCAACCCAGACCTCTGCTCTATTCCCCTCCTTTCCCTTTCCATACACTCCTTCCAGGAAAGCTCTCTTGCTGTGCCCAGGGCCTGGGGCCCAGGTTCTTCCTGCACCTCTCTGGAGCAGCCCTACAAGGTTGGCTGCCCTCTGAGGCCCCTAATGGGTGTGCTATTCACATTTCCCTTTGTCTTGGGGCAGGGCCAAGCTGAGGGGGTGAGGGGGTCTCGTAGAGGAATGGGAGGGCCCCACTTGGCTACTTCTACCAGGCTTCAAGCTCATCTTTTTCTTTTTCTTTTTTGTTTTTTTAAGAATTATTTTGCTTGATTTTATTTATTTTAATTTGCCCAGAGAGGGACACAGTGAGAGAGCAAGAGAAAGTGAGAAAGCAAGCCGTCAGATCTAGGACTTGAACTGCAGTTGGCCATGTGGGAGTCCAGCGCCCTCAACCACCACTCGACCTCCATACTACCTGCTGGCCCCCAGACTCATCTTTTTTCACCCCAGAATTTCTTCAGGTCAGGAATATGGAGCCCTTCTGTTCCTAACCACTTCTCAACTACCTGCCAACCCATTTTTGCCTTTCTGCCCCAGACACAAAACTCAGCACAAGCATCTGCACAGAAGTTTGCTAAGACATGGGGAGGAAGAAGCGTAGGGCACCCCCCCCAGGAGGGTGGCCATGCCTCCATTCTGTTAGGATCTGGGGGACTGTGTGCACACACATCCAGCATGTTTTTCAGGCCACTGGTCTAGGACTTGAGCCATGTAGTCAGCCATGTGGGATCCAGCTGCCTTAACTACCATGCCACCTGCCGCCCCCTAAAACCTATATTTAGATGGACATCTTAAAAACTGTATCTGATAATAACCAGCTATGTACATACAATCAGTGAAAGACTATAATTTTGACCAATGGGGGGAAAAATGCATGAAAAAATAAAAATGGCAAACTACAGGAAGAAAAAAGTGAGTGAACAGACCAGGCAAGCAGTAAACTCTGAGCGCTGAGACTGCAAGGAGAGCCGTGTGCTGTCTCCTGACTGCAGACAAGCCTCAGCCCACTGCGTGGGGCAGAGCAGGCAAGTGCTCGCCCACTCACCCCAAAGGCCCCAGGTAGCAGACAGGCTGCTGTGGCTCTCCAGAGCAAACCCTAGGAATGCTGGGAGCAAAGACAGAACGCAAAAATTCTCCCAAAGATGGGTATTCCCCAGAAGTCCAGGGGGCGCTGCGTGTGGTCAGTGGCCGCACTCACTGGTCTAGCAGTCTAATACCCACCTCCCTCCAGGGTGGTAAGGCGCTCACTCCGAGCTTCCTGCAGGGGTGTGCAGTGGGAAGCCCTGACATGACATAGGCTACTGGAACCCCAAGTGCTAGGGTCCCCAGAAATACTAGCCACACAACCACCCCAGAGGAGCTGCTGTGAGTGGCTGCATCCACTCATGGAGCTCATACCCCTCTAGGACCACAGAACACCTTAAAACTGGAGCAAAGTCAAGGCCTGGAAAATGCCCTATCAAACCCTACCAAAAGAAGCACAGACCTCCAGAGCAGGGCCCCTCTATCATGAGGGGAAAGTAGTCTGAGGCCCGGAGAGCCACTAGAATGATCCCTTCCTTGGGATCTTGAGGGCAATGGTCCTTCTGGTGGAAAACCAACTGCCTGGGGGCAGCCACTTGACACGGGCTTCATACAGGTTAGAAACTCAGGGCCTGGCCACGCAAGGGCAGCAGTCCAGCACCCTCTCCCCCAGGCAACAGGGTAGACGTGGAAGGCCTCAGTCAGAACACTGGATGTGACACTGAATTCCACTAATCCAACATTTGATAGTCACGGCCTCCCAGGCAGGGCTTTAGTACACAAAGGGCTTTAGTATACAAAGGAACTGGCGGCTCTGAAGTGTAACCTTCCAAGGGTCAAGTGGGTACTGATGCAGGAAAAGAAAAAATCTAGATGGTGGAGAGGTGCAAGAACACTCCCATCACCTGGTGGGCTCAGGATGCAAGGCCAGGCCCAGTTCCCCCAAGATGCAGCTCCAAAATCCAGGGCCCATGTCACTCTTCACCTCTGCACTGGAAACTGCAAAAACTCCTATGGACAGACCTCCAGCAAGACCATGCTAGGGACAGTGCCTATGCTGACGCTAGAGGCAGAAGATACAGCCCTCTCAGCCCCAGGCTGTGAAG